TATCCCATATGTTTGTCAAAATTCCACATCTCCCAACTAATGAATTTAATATTGTCTTTTAAAAGAAAATCTTTGTCATCACCTTTGTACTTCCCAGGTCAGGCCTAGGATCCCAGAGTGGATTGTTGTTTGGCACTGAGTTTATTGGCACAAAAATTGCTATGCTGTATTGGTCACCAGCAGATATCCCCTATCCGGGGTATTGTCTTCCCGAACATTTTCAGTAATTTGAATAGAATCTTGAATTCAAGCTTTTATGGGGGCTGTGAAACAATTTTAAAGGGTTATCTAGAGCTTTACTTCTGTGCCAGACATCCCCAAAAGCTGGGCTCAAGGGAATACACAGCAAAAATCTATTTAACCTACTTGCAATTTCTTTTGCTTTGCAATTTACCTGGAAACAATGCCAAGAGAAAAGAAGATAGTGGATGTGCAAGTTGGATCCCTGCTAGCGTGAGATAGTGCAAAGGTTGTACCTCGTGGCACTCAGGGAACAGTCAGACAGGCCGTATTTATTCTCTGATTGCCTCACCATTGTGTTATGCTAGGTAAATGCTGTTTCTTCTCACTGTCTGGGTCTGCAAGGGAGCCTTCTGGATTAGGATTTCACCATGGGACACAGACTGAATTGGTGATTTTCTCTAGGCTGGTGTTCCCTCCCAGCCAAAGCTGTCCCTCTAACATGAAGCCAGTCCCCTTTCCCTCAACAGAACCTGCGAGTGCAGAATTCCCCCCTCAGTAACCCAGGCTTCTTTTTTAATTGCTTACAGACAAAAAGCCCCAGGAGGATGCTGCTTTATTGCTTACGTTCCAGGGTTTTCCACAAAATATCTGTATATTTAATGACATTTTCAGAAATACACTGAATTTTCTTTTAGTAAGGCAGTAACAGCTTATAGCAGGGAGCCAAATTGCTAGTGAGGAAATGCACATTAAACAAACATTTCGATGTTGTTAAAAATAATGTGCAGCCTTTGAAAAATGCAGGCCTAATACAATTTTAGAAAACAAATGAGGAGATCCAATAAGTTTACAGCCATTGAATGCCTCCAAGTAATGATCATTGCTGACATTTTCATGCTTTATTTTTAATTGCCACAGCTAATAATGCTAATGAGGTAAGAATGGCAATGGCTTAGGCATACCAGTGGCAATAGCGAAGAGGAGCACGTCGAGTCGGCAGCAGCCCTGCTGGGCACCCATCCTGCCTCGTCTTTCCCAGATGGAGACCCGAGGCACTCCAAGCCTCAGGGTTCCTCCCTACACAGCCACAGGGAACACCATGCAGAAGGGACCTTTGGGAGTGACAAACCACCGAGAGGAGAAGTAGCTGGGGAAAAGCCACTCTTGTCCGACCCTTGGAGATGGGTGTTGCAATTTGGCTCCGATGCACCCAGCGTTAGCGCATGGCTTGGGACTGTACCAGGAGGGAAAGCAGCTTCCTCTTTAATCCTTGATGCAGAATTAGCCCAAAGCAGATTGTTCTCATGAAAGGTAGTGTGGACTTGTGCTTTGATTTAGGGGGCCTGCTGCTGGATTTATTTGATGTGTGAGTAATTAAAACCTCTAGACTTGCTGATTCAGCCCTAGTTCTGACCTTGATTTCATCACTGTATTGTTCCGTTCCTAATCCTTTAGTGAGGTTAGAGCAGGTTAATCTTAGTGAAATGTTTGCTTAATTCTACCCTCGCTCATTTGTTCTCTTACTAAAATCTACATAAAGAATGGAGCAATAGTAATTCTTTCAGCTTGTTCCAATTACTCTGAGAGCAAAGCTAATTCAGCTGAAGCAGCTTAAGAGCAACTTGATTGTATTTCTACAGCTGAGGCTCTGTGCCAACAGAAGATGAGGCACCTTCTCTGCTCTGGAGCAGTGTTGATATGTTACTTCGGTTAAAATCTGGAACGTGCCCCTGCCTGGCTCTTGGATGACTTTTTCTCTAGTCTCGTGCCTTGCTGCCTGCTCCTGCCAGGCTTGGTGTTTCTGCCTCTTTCGCTCCCCTTCTGGACTGCTGTTGCTCCTGTGGCCCACTAACAAAGCAGAAGAAATGGAATTGAGTGCATGGGTGTTCACCATGTCCATCGTGAGATGCAAAAGGCTTTTTCTGTCGGCTCTGTCTCATCAGAAAGGCTTTTTCTATTGGCTCTGATTCATCAGACTTGGAGATAAAAGCCCCTTTGGTGTGACTCAATACGATTATCCTTACAATCCTTAGTGATTGGCAGTGAGGCATCCCATTTTCACAGGCATGGGTGGTCCTGAAAACCAGGGATACCGATTTCTCCTGTGATATCTGTGAATATGGAAGTGGATAAGGAGACAGCAGTGTCCCCCTGTTCATCGCTGACCACTTCAGAAGCTGGGAAAGCAGGGCAGTGGTGTGGGAGAGTTGCTTTGTGGTGACTGGTTTTACCAGAGGATCTTTCAAAGCTGACACTTCTTTAGCACACGGAGGGAACACCAGCTGCCAAACTGTGAGCAAGCACAATCCCAGCCTCACCCCTTACCAGGTAGTAATGCTAGGCAGGGGTTGGTGGGCAGCACAGTAAAGCTTTCTTCTGCTATTCTAGATGTTCAGAAAGTCTGGGAAAGGGAGTACACCATGGGCAGGAGGGGTGTCTTCATCCCTCTATGCCACAGACCTTGCTCCATAGCAGCATGCAGGGGTGAGGAACTGAAAAGGTGGAAGAAGAGACCATGGGAAGAGAAACACAGCTAGGGGATCTGAAGGGACCTCAGACCAAAGACTGACATATGCAGAAAGCTCTAGCAATGGCTCTGGGACATATTCCACTTGTGAAAGCTTTTCCCCTTCACACTCACTCAGTCTACATGAGATAATCCCATCTGTGGACGTACTGAGGAGGTAACATTTAGGCATCTTCCTTGGCAATATAAATACTAAATAACATGGCATCTATAAGGGATACATTACTTCTCAGAGGAGCATGATAGATAGACGTGTTTCCAAAAGGGAGGGAAAAGGTGAGAAAACATATCTGGATGGAAATAAAAGAATCTAAAATTAAACCTGAGCAGAGGATATCTGTACGGACTGCAGCCCCTGGCTGTCACAGAGAGCACTCGGCACGTGTCCCAGTGGATGTCTGAGCAAAGAGAGAACTAGAATCATTCTTACTCTCTCTACATGCAGCCTCTCGGTAGAAATTAAAGCCGCTTTAATTTTATGATACCTTGAGGGACCAAATCTGATCTGAGCATTATTGCAGTGTTGGGATGACTCACCCACAGAAGTTCGCTTTTTCTCTTTTTTTTCCAGCCATGCTTCCAGACCTCACCCCAGAGGTGAAGCTGTGGCACCTGAGCTTGTGCTGGTTTCATTGCGCTGGGTGGGGATTTGCCCCAGTGCTTCAGAGAGATGCTCACAGATGGGTAAGGTGGGTCTTTGGTTACAAGAGGAGGCCTGGCTGAGGTGTGCTAGCAAAGTAATAAAAGGCTCACAATAGGCCAGATGACGGGAAGAAAAGGTTCAAAGAAGCATGATAATCTGTGGCTTCTGAACAACAGGGAGCTTCTGCCACAGTGAGCAGAAAACAATACCATATTGGCCCCGGCACTTCGCTGCCAGGAACGCTGCTTTACAGACCGCGGGAGAAATCTCTCAAACGTGCTCCGACTTCTGCTCTTGTTTGGTGAGCCAAGTCACAAGTCCCTTCCTCGCTTTTTACTTATATCATGCCCTAAAGCGCTACAGAATAGTGAAAAAAAAAAAAAAGATTTAAGCACTTAGAAGAGAGGGCAGAATAGTATTAAACGGGCTTTCATTTTGGAGGGCAAGGAATCACTCTCCTCCAGCTCTGTGGATAGTGAATGCACTTAATGGGAATGTAGGAGAAAGGACATATGACTGGGGCTTTCCCTAAAAAGACAAAGCCTATTTGTGCCATACCCCTGCTCCACATGCCTGTCCCAAACTCCTTTTACTCCCATGCCTCCCTTGCCTCCACAGAAACACAAAGACAACTGAAGCGAACGTAGTCGGAAAGCCCTCTGAAGCGTGGTTTGATTTTGGCACTAAATCTCCCCTTGACGTCTCACAGTGGCACTGTATCGCCAATAGATGATAGGGTTGCAGCGATTTTCCACGCAGGAGAACACAAAAGGAACCCCCACCAGCCCTAGCAGTGCTCTCAATCAAATAAAACCCCTTTAGCTTCCTGTTGCAGAGCTCTCTCTAGGATTCATGTATATTTTATCAAAGTTACATGCAGTTCTGATACTTGTTTCGAAAGTGCTTTAGTATGAATCCCAAGATGTACTGAAATGCTGCAGTGGCCTTTTTTAAAAAATCAAGGTTAGAGTAGAGAAAAAATGAAATGGCTTGACTCCGTAGCATGTAATAAGAGCAAATTCTGCTCAACAGGCTTCTATTGATATAAATAAGCAGAAGAAACACAAACATACATCTATATGAAATCATTTCGCTCCTTGCAATTGTACCCTGGGAGCAGCAGGAACAAAGAGGAGCTCCACAGTTTCACCTCTCATAAATGAAGGTCCTGCAATGATCTAAAGCTATTTTTTTTTTTTGTCAGAAGTGCTTTTACAAGCCAAGACAGAAGTCAACACAGAAGAGCTATGCCCTCAGTGGTAACCAATTATTGTGAAGATCATAGAACCATAGATAGCTAAGAACAGTCTGGAGTAAGAAAAAAACCCAAACCAAACAAAAAAAAACTTTGTTTGCCAGTTGGGATTTTTGCTTTTTATTGTTTTTTTTCTTTAGTTAAGCTCTGAGGAAAAAAAAATTGCAATGATCTTTTCAGGAGAAATGAGTATGTATTTTTTAAGCTGCATTTCACGACCCCTTTGTCTTTCAGGCATTTGCAAATTTTAGATCAAGAAGGATGGATGGAGATCGTGTTCTGGCTACAGTGTAATAAGGCATTCAGGTTGAAGTCGGCAAGAGCCAGCAGAGTGGAGGGGGGATTAAAAACCCAAGAATTCATTTTGAATGTAATAAAGCTTTAGTACTTACAGCTGTCCTCTTCTTCAGTAATACATTTCACAACATAACAGGCATAGATGAAGCCCGCCAGCTGAAACAAAATGTAATACTGTTAGATGTAAAGCAAATACAACAGAAGAACAAGAGTTGCTTTTCGAAAAGAAACAACAGAAACAGAAATAACAAAATTCACCAGACTATCTTTGATAAGGTAATGATAATTCTTTACAACAGTTTGGTAATTCTAATAGTAAGTGCACTTTATTTTTTGTGATTATTTTGGAAATAGTCAGGGAGATTTTGAATTTTTCTTGAAAAACACACCCTTCAATAAAACTTCCAAAAATTGACAGTTTTTTTTTTCCATTACAGAAATGGCTTCTTTTTAATTATTAAAAACCAGAAAACCAAATGGGTGGTTGGGTGGATGGATGTTCAGCCGCTGAAAATGTAAATATTTCTGTCAAAATCAAATTTGTTATCCAACAAAACCCGACCCTCTTGTAGAACTCTGTGTTTTTAGCAAAACCTTGCCAGATAAACCAAGGATGAATTCAGTGCACTTGTAACCCAGCTTTATAGTGATATTTCATCACTTGAAATGAGGGCCGTGGATTAGTGGGACTTGTTCCCGTATCTGCAATAGCCTCAAGCCTCAAGACATATCTAGCACTTTGGATAGGTCTGGATGTGTTTACATCAGTGTCTCATGCTGCAGCTGGCAAATTCATATCTCATTCCCTTCATTCCTCTCCTCAGAGCATGCTCAGAAGTAAGTTGTAAACAGAAGCAATAGGATTTAAAGAAAACGAAAATCTGTAGTGGTTCTTGCATGCCACGGCAGATTAATTCTGTTACATTATCACCTGAAAAAATAAAGAAGGGAATAAATAACTGATATCACACATGCCACAGGCCAAGTATCATGTGAGTGCTCTGCTAGTCCTTCTACCAAGTTCTGTCATCGCTGAGAAGTTACACCAGAAGCAACAGAACAAATACCGGAGCAGCAACATGTGCCACGTGTTGCAGGCTTTACATGGCTTCCCTTGCACGTAAGTCTGGAGAGTTTTCTCTACTGAATGACAACAAATTATTTTTCATCCTTTACCTCATCACTGAAGTTTGCATGGTAGGACATCAAGAATTCAGGTTGTTTGACCTCTTTGTAGTGAAGAGTGAGCCATGCCATCAAAATGTGTTACTCTGTACAGGTCACCTCACAGAGAACTTTTTGTGAGCTGCAAACCCAACTGTAGACTTTGGGAATTAGTTCTTTATATGGATAATAAAAATGCCTAAAGGCTCCAGCCAGGACTGAGCTCTCTGTGTGCGTGGTGCAAAACCCAAAATCTCCAGCTGAGGGAGATGATGTTCTTAATTTCAGACAAAGTAATCAGTGGGTCAGACAGCAGGAAGGGTGAAATCTGAGAGAAGACCATGTATCGCTATGAATGCTGATTAGTGCAAGTGGATCTTTTTTTTTCATTAATCCAAGGCACACCTACAATCACTGCAATATTGTGGGTTCTTAGAGCCCTTAATATTACCTGTATAAATGAAATGCAAACAAATCCATTCTGTTTCCTAGTGCCTTCATACCTGAGGCAGCGACCATGCCTAATTTAGTCCAGCTCTGACACAGATATTCCTGGTATTTCTCTCGGTTTTCTATGTAGAAAGCTGTCCATACCTATGAATGCTAGCTTCTAACATCTGTATGGGTGAGAGACGGATAAAGGAAAAAAAAAGGACAGCTCCAAGACTTTTCTGAAGAGATCAAGACTTGATTTGGAGATCACACTGCAGCCAGCATAGATTCCTGTTGGGAGCCCAGAAGCTGCATTACAACAGACCTAAATCATTAATTTTGTCATTTATTATAAATCTGCCTTACAGTGCTGCTGGGAAGATTTTACACCTGGGAAGGATGAAATATTCACCACTGGACACAAAGAACACACTGTACCAAGAACAGTGGCATTCAGCTTTTTCAAGACAGAGGGCTAATTTGCTCCGCTGACTTATGCCCTGTATAACACCATTGACTTCAGTGACATTACATGAGGTTTAATTCAGCAACGAATTAGGCCCAGAAAGGTTGTTCATAAATGATTCCATTCTTGGAATGTGAACCTTGGCTATAATAGTTTCTCTGTTCTCTTTTTACAGACCATCAGATCCAAGAGAGCTGAATAGTTGCATCTCTAGTAGGCGACCGCAATGGTAAAGCTTTTCTTGTAATACAGTTCAATACTTTACTATCTGCTAAAACACCACAAGTTCACTTGCTATTAACTAAGCTTCTCTCAGAAAGCACAGGAAACAAACTGTATGGCAAACTGTGCTTACAACTGATCTTTTAATTGTATTCAGTTGCATCCCTTAAATGTCTAGGGAACTCCTTTGATATATAAGTAAATCCTACAGCATTTCATCAGATGAGGTTGCTGATTAAAAGAGTGCCTTAAAGATAGAAATTGTTCTGTTCTAAATACAAATGGAAGTTTGTTTCCCATGAGATAATCAGAGTTCATAAAATAAGCCTCCCCTTCTCCGACATTTATCCAACCCTTTGTTTGGTACACATAATAATTTTGTTTTAATTTGAACATCACATTAGTTTTTTTCGGTTTTTCTCTTCTTTTTAAACAAGCAATTTATCAGTTCTGATCCAGTGACAGATATTCAAGACTTGTCTTCTAATTGCATCAGAAGCAGAGGGCACGCACTCGGACCTGAGTGTCATTTTTTTACTTCGAGGATGCTCAATGGCCCAAGCCCATGGTGACTACAGAGACCTCTGGGTTGGAGACCAGGAACCTACTTCCTCCCTGCTGGACTCAGTCTTCCTGTAAGAAGGGTGCAACTCATCTATGCATGTAGCAGAGCTTTCTTTGGGACCAGTCAGCTAATTAATGTTAGTTAATGAATTCTCCCATGGATGAAAGGCTCTCGCAAAATGTACCACCTTTGTTATAGCGCAAGATGCATTGCTTTGACCTTGTTTCTCTAAGAAAAACACACTGCAACGTACCTATGCACAGCGCAAAATAAATAAAACAAATTCCAAGCAAAACACTCTGCTGAGCACGCTTCTCCTGGGAAAGAAGATGAGAGGAAAAAAAACCCAAACCCAAATGATAGAGGTTAGTCACATTGCTTAATATATTCCTGGGAAGCCCTCAAACACAGCAGTGCTGAGTGCAGCATGAGAATTACACAGAGCAGAGTCTTCCTGATCCAGAAAGATTTTTGTCTTATGTGACAAGGAAAGGAATGAGTCCTCAGAGATAAAGAAGAGAAGGATCCTGACTGTCTCAGAAAATCAGTTTAAAGCTAGGAAAGCTAGCTTAGAAACTCTTGTTTACTTGCATCCTCCCCTCCCCCCCCTTTTTTTTTGTAATTAACTGAGCTTTCTTTTATAAACCCTGTAGCATCCCAGACCTTTTATAAACCCTGTAGATCCCAGACCTATCCAGATTAGGTGTCTACATCTGTCCCATTCACATTTCAGTGCTGTAGTATGGGCCTCCGGAGGAGAAGGAACCATTAACAACACTCCTGCTCATTTATACATACAGTGATTAGTGAATGCATGTTTTTATGAGCCTCATTTTCTGCAGCTTGAAAAAAATCTGCTCTTTACGACTTTCCCTGATATGTCCATATGAGAGCATAAATGAACACCACTCTTTCTAAAAGTGACACATTGCCCATCCCTGTACCGGCTCCCTGGGTGTTACTTTGATGGCATCTGATGACCATTTTTATATACAATGATCTCAAACAGGTTTTAATTTTTTTAAAGTTTTTTTTTCATCTATAAACAACTTGATAAAACCATCATTCCTTCTGCCAAGTTAAAAATGAAGACAAACAAAAGCCTAAAATAAATCAGCAGTATAACAGCACTACTGAAGGTTTGGCAGTGAGATTAATTATGGAATTATGTTAATGCATCTTATTGCCTTATTATAGCCATAGAAGGCAAAAAAAAAAAAGTTGACTGAATATTCCCTACCCAAGTCACCAGTGTCCTGTTACACTGCTAGGAACTCTCAGATCCTGAGTTGTCTGTGAGTGCACTTCCAGGCTTGCTCAAAATGTCAAGTGCTGTGATCAAGCTTAATCAGAATCAGTATTGATCAAAATCCCGTCTTGCTATTTTTTTCTCCCTTCTTTTATGGAGATGAATGTTTTCATACACTGCAAATAGAACCAGATTTGGGAAAAAAGCTATTATACGAAAAACCCATCATTCTTGGTCAAGGCCCCCACCTTTCCCTCTTTTAAAGCAATATCTATATAGATAATTATTAGGAGTTATCTTTATTAAGCCAGACTCCTGAAACAAAAGAATGACAGCAAGGAAGAAACAAAAACTAGAAGTGGGTAAGATCTGAGTGGGTTAAGGTGATGAGGAGAAGGCTCAAGATGAAAATGAATTAGTTAAGGGCTACTGAAACAGCACATGGTTGTGGCTTCACTGAATGAGAGTGTTTGATTCTATAAATGGTCTTAGTCAGGAGAAATGGACTTAAAAAGCACAAAACCATTGGTTTTTTTTCCTATGGGAAGATGTTAAAGCACCTTCTGAAACAGATAATGCTGAGGCTGGTGTGTTTATTCTTCATTACTAAGTTTTTACAGGATTCTACAAGCACTGCGGTTTTAAGATCCTAGCAAAAAAAAAGATGGGCTAGTTCAAGCAATAATAATACAGAATTACATGGAAGTTAATTTTGTCCCTGCGAGCTTTATATGGCAAAGCTGTGATGCTACATGTCTACCCATGTGCAATTTAATCATATTTCTCAAGCTTACAGGGGCTTCACATATACAGCCTCTGTAATGCTGTGCATTTAAGGAACAGTGTTTTCTTTAAAATGGATTTTTGGAGGCTCGATATATATATGTACATTATGAGCAACTGAAGAACTGGAGAATTACTAGCTAGAAAGCTTCCAGTGTATTGATTCTCAGAAAAATCATACTCATCATTTAGCAGAAAAGGTGAGACAGAGACCTTTCTCTCAATATCTGTAGAATTAAGTCAGTGTCATGGGGGTTCTAAAGCTGCCCCTTGCA